CGAAACTTGGCCGTGGACGAACTTGGCTCTGTTTTTAAAAAGGAGCACTCGAAACTACTCTTCCCCTCGTCGAAGAAAGTAGCGTCTCTTTTCTCTCGCCGCGAAGAAGACGGCGTACTAACTTATTACGAAACAATTTGCAAGTCTTATGAGAGTGGTCAAAAGAAAGAGAGAGAAAGAGAGAGAGAGAGAGAACGAAGGGAGAAGAAAAGAGGAGAGACTGATGGAAAAAAGAAAGAGACGAAGGTAAGGCAGCTTTTAAAGACTTTTAATTCGAGAATAGAATGCCAGTTTCACGGTGTAATTTGAAGCAAATGTATCTCTGTTATATGTGTTGTTTTTGTGGAGATATTTGAAATGAAAAATGAAAGAGAATAAACGAAAAAAAAAAAAAAAAAAAATACGTGGATAGTCAAATATTTGAAGGTAATAAATATTGAAATAAAAGAAAGAAAGCGTTTTTTCCGGTGAATTATTAGTTTTTTATATTTATTAAAATTATATATGTGCTTGTAAATAATAAGGCTTTTCCTTTAGCCAAGATTAGCTTCGTGTTTTAATACTTAATTAGAATCGTTGGGTTGTAGATGGCTATAATGGTTTGAGGTTGTTAACCTGGATCACATGTACTTAATTCTTATTAAAATTTTAATTTCGTAAAATATGTAATTCGAGATAAAATTGAGAAATTTAAATAATTTAAACTAAATTTAAAACAAACGTTACTCATGATCTAATTAAGTACATTAATTCATATATTAATATTTTTATTCCCAATATTATACAGTAGTTTCAAATATTGTTAAGATTATCTTGTTATAATAGGCAAGAACAATTTTTTACCCTCCATTATCTTATCCTTTATTAAGCAATCTATTTACAACAATTATTAATTCTCATATCTCCTCCTATGTTGAAACTGTAATCAATCATAACTTATCACTTTTGCCTATATCAAAGAAAATCACTTACGTTACAGAGGTAAGAGAAGAACAACCTTCATTTTTAATCATTTCACAACAATATACAATAAAACCCAACATCTTTGACGATACTTCATCGTTAATAACCAAGAAACGTGTCATTTACAACGCGGTAATAAATTTATCACGCGTCTAATCGCGTCTAAATTTTAATCAACCATTTGATCAGCCATTTCCACTGCGTCACGTTGAAACAGTCACGAAAATTTCGATAAAAAGGGAACGAACATGCGAATGCGAACATCGTACGCGACAAACATCGTACACCGACCCAATTTCCATTATATCCGACGTACGTGAATTAGGGTAAAATTAGCCTTATGTACAAAGAAGGGTGGAAAATCGATAAACACGATGCGCGACATCGCGATCGGTGAATTTCCTTAATCGAGCAAACTGTGGGCAAGTTTTATAGGAGGCCGTGCATTTTACTGATTGTGGCCAGATGGGCGTGGTTCGATTATTCATCGTCGACAATGCCGGCCATCTGTCTTTATACGTCTGACCATAAATGTAACGAAGAAGAGGGTTGGAAAATGCATCAACCTTTCACGCGATCGTATTATGAGGGGTACGCGATACGCGATCTAGGAAGATTTCGTCGCGTGTGGGATGATCATTTTTGCGTGGGGAGGGAGAGGGAAGACAGGAATAGTGAAATATAATGGACATTAGTCTAGTTTTTTCGTTATTTTCGAAGAACGGAACAAGACTTCGTCCCTTGCCTTACGTTTCCCCTCTGGTAAATAAGCGAACGAAGTAATGGATACCCGTTGATGTAGAGAACATCGTATATTCTTGAAATATTATACGAGGTATATGAGAATTTCGGTGGAAAAATGATAGAGATGTATGAATTTTTTTTTTTTGTTTTTTTAAGACAGAGAGATAAGCATAAAAAAGGTAGAGGATTTTTAAATCACAAATTTTTAAATTTTCGAATAGAATATGCATGGTAACGTGGTTTAATACATGAAAATATACAGATATGTTTTCGTTGAATTAATTAATTTACCAACTGTTCTGTTTAAAGGTTTGATTAGCTTTTGTTTTTTTTTTTAGCAGAATTTAATTATACATATAATTTCGTATAATGAATTTTTAAGAATTAAATTTCATTTTTGCAAGAGTATATTTTATAATGCGTTACCTTGATTTGTATCTTTCTTTCTTTTTTTATTATTATTCTTCCATTTTCACGATGCCAATTTCGCGTTGATTGTATTGAAATTAAACAATGTACGCTCTTTAATTATCTCGTTCCTGTGCTTCTACGATTTAATTGTACTTGCACACGTTATCACAGTATATACTGCCGCAATCAAACTCGAATAGAATATTCTCCTTCGAAGACGAGATGAACGTATCTTTATCAAAATAAAACATGTTTGCATACGAAAATTATCACATTACATTACACGTGTTTCTAACCTAACAATCTCCAATAACCAATACAATTTATTATTCTTATCGAAAATTTTCATTTTCCCCCAAAAACGACTCAATCTCAAACTTTGCAGGAAATCAGGAAAAAAAAAAAAAGAAACGTTAATTAAGAAGCATGGATTAATCGACTCGCAGAGCTACCCAATTCAATCCAGAAATTAAAACGATACGAGAAACCGCGCAAAGCGAGCCACTCTTTCATAATTCGAGCGATTGTCGAAGCGTTAAACGCGGCCATTTAATTGGCGCCTGATCAAACGGTTTGGGACACGTCCGCGAGAGAATGGATCCATGTACGTCTCTATTCGTTTTCACGCTCCATTTGGCCGGGTAATTCGCGGCCTGTCGCTTTCAAACCGATCGAAAGTAATATATTCCAACATCCTCCTTGTTTCGAGGCAAACAGCGGAAAATCTTTGACGCACGGTGAATCCTTTGAAGGAAATTTTTTTTCCGACTCGAACAACAAACGTATACAGGGTGCCATCTATTGTTCCGGTATTGTACCCCCCGTTTTAATCATGCTCCTGCACTTAGTCCTAGCCTCGGTTTTATTCCGTGCTCCACAGGTTTTCGCGATTGCACGGGGTCAACGTTGCTCCTCTGTTTCCTTTTTCTCCTCCCCCTCCTCTTCACACACACACTCGTTTCTCTTTTCCTCCTATTCTCTTCACGAGTATTTTTTTTTCTTTCTTTCTTTTCCTTCTCGTATTTTTTAAATGAGACAGCTTTGCTTTTCGTCCACGAGAAAATGTTCAATGTAAGTCAATTTTCCAATGCGATCGACCATCGTCATTTTTGTCTTCTTCTATCCAGAAATCTGGCTCTTTGATCTGATTCATCGTGACTTTTGTATATTAGTAAGGATAGTTTGGTATACGTTGTAGAGATATGTTATTTTCGCAAGTTTGCAAAGGAGATTAATTATTAATTTTGATTGATTATTTAAGTTTCTTTCGAAATTTTGATCTCTTTCTTTTTTATTTCGTTGAAAGATTCCTCCAAACGCCAATTCGATATTTTAGATCGAATATCTTTTCTATTTTTTATTTTCTTTCTGGATTTTCTTATTGAATATTCTTTTTGTAGGAAAAATGGAATAGAATTTTATACAAACTTGGAACAGAGGAGCAATTTCTCTTCACGATTCGAAATAATATTGTTTTCTTATTTTCTCCTGTTAGAATTTAAAATCGTCCCGAATAAGAAATATCGATACTTCCTTCTTCGATCTCTTAGCATAAAATAACTAACTTAAGGGTTCGAACATAAGTTTGGGAATAAAACTCTCGAGAGTTATTCTTTTATTTTTTTTCTAATGAATATTGTATTGAGTCCACTGAACAATAATTCCCGTATCGATAGCAATTCTCGCAACAAAAGAAAACGGAAAAGAAATCGAGAAATACGCGAAAGAAACGCGATAATTAACGAAGTTCGTTTCTTCACGCGAAGAAAGTGAGGAGCGTAGGTTGAGGAATTGGCTCGTCGTTAGACAGTCGATTTCCTTGGAAAATAACGTTCTTCCCGGCGGAGGAACGTGTATCGTGGATGGAATTGCGCGCAAGTGAATAACGATGACGTCGTGGCGTGCACCGAGGCAAGAATACACGGCGCGCGAGTCGTGAAAAGATTTGCTCGTCTCTCGACCAAAGACGTCAGCCGGCCCGGAATTTTAAAGGGGAGAGACGTCTAAGCGGGAGGCGCCGCCTTTTAACCGGCGGAAAATTACGAGACGGGGAAAAACGGATTTATATATCAACGTCGGTTGTGCAACAATCCGTGAGTAATTAATAAATAATAATAAATAAATAATAATTTATTATATATAATATTATATATAAAAAATAATAATAAATAATAATTTAATAAAGCCGGTTATATCTGCCAATGAGAATTTGGGGATTTCGCTCTATGATATCGATCATGAATTTTAATCGAAACCGAAGGAGGGAGAAATGGGTTGAATTTCTGCCGAGAATTAAATTTTAACGGTGAGCCAAGTTTTAATAACTTCTGTTTGTCGAAACTGTACGCGGTACTGTGATTTTCAGAGATCGTGTAGATTGCGTGAATTTAGTTTAATTCCTTTTTTTATTATAAAATTCACGATATTACAAAGTCCTCTCTCTCTCTCTCTCTTCGTTTTAAAATTATAAAATGCTCGAACGCTGTATTCATTTAATTAATTCGAATAATCTATTAACAATAATCCAACGATCGTAATTCTTTCATTTCTGTACGCATTCCGTTTGTTTCTCCTATCTTTTAATCCCCTCACAATTATCCTACTTTCCAAATCATCCCCTAAACGTCGAATTTCCGATGTCAGAGGCGTACCAAATTCACGAAACCATTAATCGAACGTGTCGTTTTCGGAATAGGCGGTCATCGATTTCAATTCCGGCCCGCATAAATCCTGATAATTCTAATTCGAGTCGAGGGGCCGCGATTAAGTATTTGCGTGGCGCGTCGACAAATCTATTCTCCCCCTCCCCTCAGTCCCTTTCATCGATAATCGATCGTTCCCTTTTTCGACTATCCCGCGCGCATACGAAAATTCATTCTTACCTTCGATCTTCCTTCGACTCGTTTCTCTTGATTCAGCTGAATCCAGGCGTCCCATCGATGCCTGTAGACAGTCAGGGTGTTCCATTCGTTCAACCTTACTGTTTGCGTGCTCCTCACTGTGCCGACTCCGCTCCCACAATCGAACCTTCGAACAAATACCTGGATTAGGGTTCCGTTTCCTTTTGACTTATTTGGTTATGGAATCATGATTTTTTTGAGCCGAGGTTAAAAGGTTTGGAATTTTATCAAGGGTTTGTGATTTGCGTTTCACGGAGGATCGATGAAAAGATGGTCTCGAATTTCGATTCAGAATTTGGATTCTGAGTTTGCACAGGAATGAACAATCTTAAAAATATTTTTCGAAGTGTTTTTATCTTGAAGCAAGAAAGAGAATCGAAATTTGCTTCAATAATTTAATCGTTTTCCACTTTGAAGTGGAATTATAATGAACGAAATATTTTTGACGATTAAAGAAATGGATTCGTTTGATATTAAATGATATTAAATACAAGAGCGAGAATATGCTAATTAATAGATAACGTTCATCACGAAAGGTTAAGAATTTTATCCAATCGTTAAAAAGGTTGGTATTTTATCCGATTATTGCCATTAAATTTTTTCCCTTCTTGATATTTCTCTTCGGTTTTTCCAATTTAAGCTTTCCATATTGTTCACGCAACGCCATTTATCTACTAGCAGGAAGTCTGGTTCGCCACGAAACGTGGAAACGATACGAAATCGGTCGAGTATCTTGTATCGTAAGGATTCATTGATTCGAGGATCGTTTGCTTAAAAAAATAAAACGCTTTTAAAAAAAAATCTTATTTATGGAATAATACAGCGCGCGATACGCGAATTTAAAACGCTTTTCCCCGTGGAAAGTTTCTTTCAAGAGTTTTGAATGTTTCGAATTGAAGTATTAGAGAGATTAAAAATGAAATTAAAGTAAAATCGATTTATATTGGAACAGGTCACGAAATTATATATATATATATATAAAAAGTACTTTAAAAATAACAAAAATAACAAAAATGGATGATTAAGTTTTCTATTCTGTGAAATATGTTTTTCATTCACATTTGAATATTTTAAATCGAAAAAGAATTGACTATTATGTATACTTTATAACATTTGTATAGAATATTTTTTTTATTCATTTTTCCTTTTTATACATAGTATATTTTATTTCAAGTATTTTATATTTTTCATTTATATATATATATTTCTTTTTTTAGATAAAACTTTATCTCCTCTCGAATGGGGGAATCAAATATTATAAATAAAAATCACAGAAATTAGAGATTAAGAGGAAATGAGGATAAAATCTTCAATAGGTTAAACTTTCATAGAAAAATATACATATATATTATATATTTTATGAATATTCGTAAAGTACTTGGAAAATTCATAATTTATTCATTTGGAATAAAATACACAAGATGCACACGATCAATTGTCATTCCAAAAAACGTTTTCCAATCGAAACGAAAACATTTCACAATCGTTCGACGATTACCGTAATGAACAGAACATTTCCAATTTCAATGTAGGGACGAACAGAATAGTTAATCTCTCGCTTCAAAATCTCGTCACATTCTTAAACAACGTTTCCGGTTTCGCTCGCCCCGTTGATAATACGGAAAATCACGTGCGCGTCGACGGGGAAATGAAAAAGCATTATATCTATTAACTATTCCATAACGGGGATGTCAATCAGTGTCTGTAAACGTGAGATTAACGACCATGAAGGAAACATGAAACTTTACTGCACTGAAAGTAATAATTCACCATTACCTAACTTAGAGGAAAAAGAAATTCAAAATTCTTGAAAATATAGCAAAGCGACAATTTTAAACGACTTATTAATCTTTTTTCACGATATTTATGTTATAATATTATAAATTCATGTTATAAATTAATTCGCGTATCTTTTTTCAGTAAGATAGATAATGTTAATTGTGATTAGGATTAAACATTTTATTATGCAAAATCGAGAGTGAAAGTTGTATTTGTAAAATAATATTAATAAGATTAACAATAAGATAACTTCCTTCTGAAAGAAATATTAATTGTAAATATCTTTATAATTTTTATAAAGATATTTTTATACTTTCTTGAAAAATTCTTGAAAATATAGCAAAGCGACAATTTTAAACGAATTAATTAATGTTTTTTCACGATATTTATGTTATAATGTAATTCATGTTATAAATTATTTCGCGTATCTTTTTTCAGTAAGATAGATAATGTTAATTGTGATTAGGATTAAACATTTTACTATGCAAAATCGAGAGTGAAAGTTGTATTTGTAAAATAATATTAATAAGATTAACAATGAGATAACTTCCTTCTGAAAGAAATATTAATTATAAATATCTTTGTAATTTTATTTACACGAAAAGATTCATTTTGTTTCATCATAATATTTCAGTTATTATTAGCTCCATTATTATACTTCTTTCGGTGTATATGTTCCACTATTTATTATTTATTCGTTCCAAGCGAAACGAAGGGTGGAAAAGGGGTCGTGCTTAGTAGAGGCGGCAAGGGTTGGATTCTAAGTTGCGGTAATTATCACTGTCGGAGGGTAAACGACATGGTAATGAGAAATTTTAACGAGTTATGCCGACTGCAGCGTAAATCCTGCACAACCGAAGTACGTAATTAATAGCATGCTGCTTGGGGCACGCGCGTGCTACTTTCAAGTTTTAAAGCTCGCCCTCTACACGCAGCTCGCCAATTCGTCGATTTTCAGTCTAAGAATTATAATAACACCGTGTTTTCGTTTCACCACGAACACTTCTACGTAGTTCAGTTTACGTTTCATTTACGCAAAAATTGCTTTTTCATCCTCGAGTGTTTACTTTTTTTTTTTTTTTTTTTTTTATTAAATCACGATAGTAGATTTCATTTCATTTACCAATTATACAAACGAAATTTTTATCAAGGTACGTTTGTTATTCTACTCTTTTCCATTGTTTGTTCGATAAATCAGGTTTGAATGAATTAACAACGGAAAAGATCAATGTTGCAACGTCAAGGAAAGATTAAATTTATATATCAAATAGATTATTATTATCATTCTTCTAATTTTTTAAACTGCATCCATTTTCCATTATCACAATTCCGAAATTTTAAATATCTTATAACAATTTTTTGCAAATGCAAACACGTGTACTCGAGATACAAAGAAGAACAATATAAAATCATTTTAAATGTAAACGATTCGCCTTATTTGCAAATCGTTATCCCGTAACGATCCATTCCTGAGCAGCTTAACGAAGCAGAATCCTTGCAATTTCTTCTCGCGATATATCTCAAAATTTCTTTTCTTTCTCTCGTCCAACGAGATATACGTGAAAAAAAAAAAAAGAAAAAAATATCCATCTACGAGTTATCATCACAAGTACGGTATTTAAAACGATTTAAACCGTGATGAAAGTTAGTGTGTTCGAGGGTGCAATCGTGAGAAAAGCCGATTAGCCAGACGGACGATATCCGAAACGGAAATTCAATTTCGGCCATTGTTGCGAGATAGATATACATATACATCCGTGAGAGTGTAAAAAAATAAAAGCTCGAAAAATAAAAGGAGTAGAGGTGCAAAATAACTATTTTCATCTTTATAGAAAGAAAGAAAAAAAAACCCAGTGACGCGATTTTCATCTGGTGTGAAATAATTAAGAATTTCCCTCGGGGAGATCACGACGATGAGAATCGTGACCCTGACCTTGTTCTTCGCGATATAGTGACCCCCAGCATGCAAGATGCACTTGACATTTTTAGATACCCTGCTGTCATTAAAGAAAAGTCACGTAGTTCGTGGAGTTCGATAGAATGAAATTGAAACGATTGTTGAAACGAGATTGTTGTAGCGAAAGATGATTCGTGATTTTGTGTAAGAGAATATATACATATATTGTATTCAATGAAAATTTCCTATAAATATATTTAATTAGCCGCTGAAGTCAAGCAAGTGGAATCAAACTAATCATAGTCAAATCAAATGGGGAATTAAATTTAATCCTAAATAAAGAACAGAACAAAAGGGGAAAAAGATCTTTCCTTCAAAGGTAAAAAGGATTAATGAATAATCGTGCAAAATTTAATGGAAAATATTTTAACAGATCTTTTTGCAACTCAATGGAAACAAGAATTTTAATCATCTGTACCTGATCTCGTATCGATATACCTAATATCAAAGTATCACGTTTTTGGAAAGCTTACGGGGTCAAGTGTCGAAACCAGTTACTTACCCTCCACATATTCGAGATCGAGAAGAAAACGGAACACACATGGCCCCCCTCCCCTCGAAAGAATCTTTTGGACACCGTCCAGGACTCAATTCCTATTTTTGTCTCGATCCTCGGGCTCACGCGATATTACTTCCGTTTCGAGCTTCCGCTCGTCGCTCGACCGTGCATGTAACCGTAATGCGGACATCCGTGTACGTGAAAGTGATTCTTTGAGCTTTCCACCCTCGCCCCGCCCTCTTTATCCTCAGTCGAAAGACACAGAGCACCACGACGACGACGACGACGACGACGACGACGGGTTACGTGAACGCGGCTTAACCGAAGAAAAGACCACTCAGATTGGATAGGTAAGCCGGAAAACTCGGGTGGCGAGAGAGACTTTGTTCCACCGTTGAAAGAGAACGGTAACTACACGGCCACAGATATAGGATCATAGCTTCTTCTTCTTCTTCTTCTTATTTCAGCCTCGGCTGACTTGCGAGAAGATTTCATTTCGCCTCGAAAGCGAATCTTCAGCCATCTCTCCACGCTTTGGAAAGGAAATATTTTACGGTGGCGACGTACTGAGAATTGGGGAGGGATGATCGTTGTACCCCGAGTGTCGTCAGAGTGAACGGGTTCGATTGGGATTAGGCGAGGAATATTTTCAAATTCGTTCGAACGGATCTCGATGATATAATTTGAAAAGAAATACGTTGACGATAGAATGTTGTTAAATTAAAATTTTAGGAGCTAGATTAGGTGTTATACGTTGGAATGTAAAACGTGTATAATTTTCTTTTGCAAAGTCTTCCCCTTGATTTCCCTATTGAAATATCCGAGATGGAGTCTCTATGATTAATTTCCCTTGTTAGAAGCAATATAATATTCGTATTTAAGATTTCTTTTTGAAGATTGATTTTCACATCGGTCAAACGGTTTCTGTAAAGATCGATATAATAAGAAAGGAAAGTAAATTCGATTCGAAGTACTTAGCTTTTCATTTGGACGAGATTTTTCTTTTTCTTTTTTTCCTTTTTTTTTTTTTTTTGATTGGTTAATATTCGATGTTTGTCCAGTACGAATAAATTCTACGATTGATCATTTGGCGCACGGTTAATGAATTATGGAAATGAAATCGGCGAACGACGAACGATTATCACGGCATCGTTGAATAAATTGCATTCAGACGAGGCTTTTATTCTTTCGATTATTTCCATAATTAAATAGAAATTTCCATTTTTCGGGGCCGAGGAAAACATATTTCAGGGTTTCGTCATTTCGGTTTTAACAGAACAAAAGCTTATTTATAAGAAAATTGAATGCTAGTTGAACGATGATATTGAAATTATGATATAAAACACAATAGATGTATTATATATTATTATAAACTTCTACATTTCTATAAAATATTTTCGATTTTAAATTTTAAATTATATACTTTTGAAGATACTTTTGCACATACCGTATTGGAAGAAGATAATGTGAAAATATTATGGATCATAAATAACAATTTATTATTATGAATGAATGTTGATGACACGTAATGTTAAATATGCAATAATTACAAAGTGCATTAACTGGGTGGACTAAAATACGATTAAAAATTATGGCAACTGTCTCGATTTTAATGACTCTTGTTATTCTCTCGATGGCTTGCACAACTTTCTTTTATGACACGTGCCATATGTACATGTGTATAGAAGAAACAATGAAAAAAACGATACAAAGAACGACGGATCAAACAAAAGAACTCCTTGCTCGTATATTTATATTTTTTCATTGTTATTAAACACTATCCCTCTGCTATTATTCTTAAAAATAATTATTTTCCAAGCTATCTTCATATTATTTTTCATAGATTGTTTAAATCAAATATCAAATATATTCAAATATAATATCAATTTTTTCTATAAGAATTAACGAAAAAAAAAAAAAAAAAAGAATAATTAGTTCTCAATGAATGAGTGAAAATTGAAATTTTTAGCAACTTTTTAGAATAAATTATTTAACGAATATTTTTCTTATTCCCTCCTCATCCAAAAATGTTATATGAATATATTAGAATATATCGACGAATATAAAAATTTCCACTTCTCTTTTTTGTTTTCTCTCCCATCGTTCCTTCCTCTTGCACAATTTCAATTACAACAATGAAACCGCGATATTTCTTCCAACTTCGCTTGTTACACTCACGACGTGGAATTAAAACGTGAAATACACCGTGCTACAACGAAAAACTTTCGCCAGAAAGTTTACAAAGCGGCCCTTTAGACCACCGGTAATGAAAACTTGAGAAAGGAAAACGGCAACATTAACTATAAAAACACGGCCTGCTCGTCGACGTGGGCAACCTCCGCCACGAGTTCGAACTTCCGGTTTCATAAATCGGCGGCTAGTCGCCACGAGTTATTAAGCTGTAAACGAAAAATTAGCTGCGGACCGGAATCCTTAATTAATGGCCCCGTCAAACTTACACCACAAAATGGCCACATAGTCATTGGTGGTGAGTGTATCTCGTGAAAGATGGCCGGGAAAACTTCTTTCCGGTCCCTTCTTCGCTTATTAAGAAAATGTAGTGGCGGCCAACTTCATCAACGCGATACTTTACAGCGAGATCTTAAGAAGATCTTGTTCCTACGAGATGAAATTCATTTAAGATGGGATCTTAAGGCTTTTTTAATTTTTACGATAAATTTTTAATTTGTTACTTATTGGTTGGAGTTTTCGTGATGAATATACGTCGAGGAATTTTTTTACTATTAAGTAAGTTTATAGTAGAATTCTGAGATATTTATAAAATGATACAATATTGATAAATTTTATTTTATTTATTAGGGATATTTCATCTAATTTTTGATAAATTTGATATTGATTTTTTGAGTAATTTAAATATGTTATTTATTCTATTCGTTTATCAATTTTGCAAGTTTGAATTAATGCATAACATTTTGAAGTATATTTCAAAATCTATAAATTACAAAGTTGAATTATGTAGTTGAAAATCGTGAAAATATTTGATAGTTAGAAATGTTGTACGCATTGATATCTGCATATGTTATTATCGTAATATATTAATTATATAATTAAGTGAAAATACATATCCGTAGGGAGAAACGAAAAAAGAATTCTGGCAAAGATAATTAAAAATTCGCCGAGAAGCAGAATGCAAACACGCTACGATAAATACAAACTAAAGTTTTCAAGCCTGTTTGTATATAGAGAGGATTAAAAAAGAGAATAAATTTAAAAATTACTACCTTCGAAACTTTAAACGAAGATTAATCCCACGAAAATCGTGTTACTTCGTTTCTTATCCAATTAACAAAAATTTCAATAATTTCGATTCGTAACATCAACGTGTCTTAATTCCATAAATTCGTATGAATTCTTTTCCATAGAATTCGATTCTTTATTAAAATAAAAAAAAACACTTTAATTTTGTGCCTTTAAAAGAGTTCCTTTGAGAGTGGATCAAGGACCGTTATACTCGCAGAAGGCGTCTCAAGGATGAAAATTAACCCTTCGAGAGCAGATGAGCGCTCGTCTTCGAGTCGAGTTTCGTCGAAGTTTATCGATCACGCGTTCCTCCTCCCGATAAGGAAACGTGTCTCGCGGTAAATTGAAGCAAATCGCGGTTTCGCGCGAATCCTTTGATGTCCCGCCGCTAATAGGGCAATGAGGTTTTCGGCCAAACTTGCGCCATATCGAGGCAAGTTATGGAAAGTTGGCATAATACTGGTGATATATGTCATCGGCAGGGATGCACCCAATTTGCGGCCAAACCGTTCGATTCGATACGCTCCTCCTATCGATCAACTTCCGTCGATACATCCGTTCTAAACTAACCTTCGATTTTTCGCGCCAATTCGGATCGGTTTACAAATTTATTCAATCGAACGATAATGGCTATTGATTTTAATTCGTATAGATAAATTGAAATATTTAAATTTTTGTACACATTTGAGTGATAGAATTGGAATCTATGGGGAGAGGAAGGTATGTACTTTTAATTTTGTAATTTTATAAGAATTGCATGAGAAATGAATAATAATGATTTAATGGTTAATTAATTTAGGATATTTAAAAAAATATGTATAATACGAAATTGTTTTCATCACTAGATCGAGGAAATTTAAATATATAATGCAGAATGCACAAGATAAGAGATATTCAAAACAAAGTGTATGTAAAGGGTGAAATTTTTAGTTCCATTTCTGTGCTCATAAAAATCTAAATTTGCATAAATACCCGCAATCTACTCGCTTTTAATTTCATAATAATGAAATTATATGTAAACTTGTATAATAACAATATGTTTTACAATATTAACTACTTTAAAAAATCTTTAAAAAGCGACTTCACGAAGAAGATGAATACATATATATATATACACATAAGTTATCAAATATCCTTATCAAACTTAAAAAATACACCGCACATAGGATATCTCAGGATAATAAAGAACCTTCCCAAACTAACTCACTTTCCAAACTCCTCTTCCCCTTTTTTCAACCAATCCGATCCCCTTTAAATAATCACGCTTCGATCGATCAACAATCCACTTTCCAAGCTATTTTACCTGAATTCGACGAACTATACGCGATCGTGGAAGCGTAATATCGTTACCTGAACTCGATGAATCCGTGATGCAGAATCAAGGCCATGAAGTCACCCTGAAGATCGTCCCTCTCCCCGGCCAGAAGCAAGATACCATCCCACGCCTCGGGACGGAATTCCAGTTCCAACTGGACGTGCTTGTATGCGGCCTTCAACGCGGGAAACGCAAGCCAACCGGAACCTGTGAACCTGGGCGATCTTACCTCGGCCTCTGCAAAAGTGAAAAGTTACCATCGTTAGAAAGTTAATTGTTATTATTATTATTAATATTAATACATTCGATAATAATTATTGATATTATCAATTGTTACAGTTGTTATTAACCCTCGACAAATTTCAACATTCGTATTATTCACGATTTCTTCAGAGAAACGATCTTCTATCGAGTTGTCGACGATTTACAGACAGTGCTTTTAAGTAGATCGACAACGATTGACAACGAAATTTGCATTTATCGACGAAGAATCGCATTGATTAGATTTTTTTTTGACGGATCTCACCTCGGATTTTATCGTTAATTGGAGTTAATTTCTTGGTTTCGTAAAAGAATATTATTATATTATACGTGTATTTGGAGAAACGAAGTGGACAGAAAATTAAATTCTATTTTTCTCGATTGTCCTTGTGTGACTATCTTTTATTTGGCTGATAGTGTATTTAAATAACATATCTCGTTGAGCAAGGAGAGTTACAATATTTGTTTACATACGTCAAATAATACGATATTTTCTTTCAGCCAGGCACAGTTTGACCGTATTAAAATCTTAGTAGAAACGATTCTCGTTTCGAGAGAACGTAAATAAAAGGCACAGTATCGAGACACATTGGAAGCAAAGCGGTTGCTTCGAAAGCGTGGCCCATATTTCGTTATCCACTTATCCCCTTCAAACTAATTGCCCCATATATCGATAAACCTTGGATTGCGAAAACAGAACCTCTCCGTCTTCGTCCCCTTTTTCGTCCCCACCCATTCGAGGGAACGAAGAAATATGGTTGGGATCGAGGGGGATACAGGATAGAGGAAAAGCTGGGAATCGAGAATTCCAGGGACAGGATGGAACGTCCTTCACCTTGGCTAACATAGATCCGACCAAAGGATACGGTATAGTATAGTATAGTATAGTATAGTATAGGAAAAAAGAAGGGTACTTTAGTGCTCATCGTACACGTAATTTGAAAGGTGGCCTATAAATCTGGAATGGAAAAACTGGAACTGTGTCCATAAGAGATCAGGAAATGGAATAACAGTTTCTTTCGATTTTTTGAGATGACAAAATATATCTCGACATGTAGAAATGAAATTCTTATTAATAAAACTTTTTACCTTTTTTCAGCATAATTTAATAAGCTTTCGTATGAATCCATAATTAATTAGTAAATTAATTTTTGTTTCAGCGAATTTTGACAAGATTTATGTAAATCTTGTACACTTTTAAGTTTAATAAGTTTCTTAATCGCCATTGTTATTGTAATTTCGAGAAACGAAAGGAGAAGAATTATCCAATCATTTTAATAAATAAAAGTTGGAACTTGATACGAAAAAGGAAAATAACTTTTAGAGTAAGATTTGATCGTGGATATGATAAAGATATTTGATTAATTTTTCGCTTCGATTATTAAAATTCAATCACCACGAATTTTCCTTCGCCGCGATGGCGAACCCGTTCGTTTTGCACGGCCGTGTTACAACGTTTAGAGCGAAAGGGAAGATGTAAATGTGTATTTGATACACGAGTGCTCGAGGACGAGAGCGAGTTAAGTCAATTTAATCTCGCGGTTTTATCTCAGGTAAGTCAATATCCGGGAAGAGAAATAAGAATACGAGGTTAACTCGATTTCCAGGTTTAATTGGCCACCGCCATCATGGATCTGGCAGTTGTGCAATTAACTCGATGTAGATTAAAGATCGTATCAAAAATAACTTACATACGGATACGGATTATTATTAATAACGATTTCGTTAAATGTATTTTCTCAAGTTTTTTTTCAATAAGTTTCATCTATGGAGATATGGAAAGTGTGCCTCTTCCTCTGTACCTTTTCCCGCGGTGGAATCAAAGTAAGAGACTTGAAAGGGAATCAGAGAAGCGTGGATACAGGATTAATTTCATATCGTGCGAGCGAAATTTCATTTTCGCATTTATCTCTCTTGGAAAATTGTATTTCTGTTTAACGGTATTAGAAAGAAAAAGTAATTTAATTTGGACAATGAAATTTTTCATATATGAGTATACACATATATTTCAATAACACGGTTAATTAAAATGAATTAAATAAAATTTCATATTGTGATGTTTTAATTTTTTTCTTTTTTTTTTTTTTAATTTCTACGATATATTCGTTTAAACAGATGAATAATAAAATAAATTTTGATACATTTGGCAAACGTGTCGAGAGACGATTTTACTGTTTTTTATTATTTTTACTACTATTTATACCATTATTTCTACTACTGTAAACAAGAATATATAATTTTTCATTATTTAAAGTTCGCTTGAAAAACATATTGTTATAAATTGTAGAATACGTATACCTTAATCTATATCGTCAAAAAGGGGGAAACTTTATAGCTCAGAAAAAATCCACAGGCTAATGGTTACACGTTACGAGCTAACAGATTAAAGAAGAGATTCGCAATCACAGCTAATTTAAAAAAAAAAAAAAAAAAAAAAAAGAAAGAAAAAATCAAGTTGGAGGCAAAAATGGCAATAAAAAAGTATCAAAGCTTTGTTTTGCAATAATTCGATGTTAGCGGATAAAGCGGATCCGATGAAAAATGTCGCGAGAATTGTCTTTCCATCTAGAGATCTGGTCGACAGTCGAACGGGTGCAACGTGATATCGTTTCACGTACAACGGTTGTGCAAAGTGTCGTGGAAAACCGTGGATAAAAAAAAAAAAAAAAAAAAAAGAAATCGGGAAAACCGCGTTGAATTCGCGCGAACATTTCAGATATCATCCTTTGTCACGTGTGTCGTGACGTTAAAAAAACAATATATCTCGTGTTCGAGCATAGGGGATTAACGATTTATTAATTTCTCTGCTTCTAAAATTTATTATAACATTGAATAATTCGATTGGATAATTTCTCTTTTTCCACTTTTCAATTTCAAGTTATACGAGATCAAACGCGGGGAACGAAAATGTCACAACGAGTAATGGTATTTTTGATTTCGAATTGTAGTAGCTGCGTCGAATTACAATTGGATATATTTGTTGCTTGTACGATTTTCAACGTTTTCGAGTTACTTCATTATACCGCTTAATCCGACCGTTTATTGACATCGATTGAATTATTCACTTGTTTATTACTGGATCTCGATTGGATTGTTTGTTGCCGCGAAACGTTTTGATTTCGTTTTGGATCGCATTCAGAAAATACGTCGTTTCTTTTAATGCAAAAATGGCGAAAAGGTTAGGTAACGGGCGAAAATTTGATGATTACGTTTTAAATTTGCCTTTGAAATTCTGATATAATGGATTATAATTGTCGTTACTTTAACAAGAAATTATAATCGGTTTTTTCCCTCCCCTCGATATTGATATTTAATATTAATTTCCAATGTTCGATATTACTAGTATAAGAACAATTTCCAATATTAATTTTCGATATTCAATTTTGATGTAGAATATTAAAAAAAAAAAAAAAAAAAGAAAGTCATAAAGATCAAGGAGAATATTTTTTTTGTCATAAAATTTGACGTAGAAAAATCTTCATGGTTTATCTATATAAAGATCGATAAAGAAGATAGAAATTTACTTTATTTCAAAATGACGAATTATTAAGATGTATCCTTCGTGTCGATTATAGAACAAATTATCCAGGTAAAGAGGAACATCCAGATTTCGAAATTCGATCGTTGCCGTTATAATACATGCATAGAAACTTGGTGGATAACGAACCGGAAAATCGCGTTATTTGTATTCCGGTGGCGCGAAAAAATTCCAACCGATATTATTCTCCGACTTTCTCTTCCCTCCATTTTTCATTGGATCTTCCTTAACTTTAATATATACATCGATAAATTCTTCTCCTCTTCCCTCGACAATCTCGCGTTTTATCTAAACGAAACGCGTTTGTGGATAATATTAATCCAAATCGATATGCAATAAAAAGAGAACGTATGTGTGATACACTTCCGTGATCGTACAACTTTTATCGACGAAATACACGAGATACTTGCGACTGACCTACCACGAATTCAATGGATCCTGCTGGTTTTACCAGCTTTCAGACTAGTATTCCTGTCATTTTTTTCCCTTCCTCCCTTGTAAAAGAAATTAATCCAAATATAACATCAAAAGTAATATATTTATTCAGATCAATGTTTATTATTCAATCATTATTATAAAAGGCGAATAAAAAATTGAATGAATTTAAATTTCTAAATACGTTACATCACGATGGATCATCGTAATCGCAAATTTCGATATTTTAACGTGAAAAACACGGGAATGAATTAAAAATTTTGTCATCAAAATGCTGTTGGAAAATAGAGGGAAACGTGCCATTGAAGCTGCTTTTTGAATTATCCCGATATCTCAATCGGTTGCCGAGATATAAGAGTTGAAAGTATCCATATAGCGCTTATAGTGCGGATATATGAATGGAGCCGCCATCTACATTTTTTCCTGGAAATGAGTACTACTGCATTTCTAGGAATCGCGTCTGACGCTTGTCTGGAGTTTGGGATAGGTCAGTGAGGCGAGGCGCGAGCGAAAGTTCCGAGTAAGCGACAAGGACGGAGATAGTAAACGATCGAAAATTATTCTTTCCTTTACACGACGATATCTCGGGAACCGGAAGTCGTATCGAGATAAATCAAAAAGCGTTTTAAAGGGGAAGGTTCAGCGCTTCTAATCGTCTTTGACTCATTGATTAAAAATCATTATCTTCAGAGTTATAGCGATTTAAAATTTTCCTAATTTCAATAGGATTTAAACGAGTTTTAAGGTAAATCATGTGATTTATAGGATCATTTTTGGAAAAATATTGCTTGTAACTATGTTATTGATGGTTGTAAATCGATTTAAAAATTATCCTAAATCGATTTAAAGTTATCTTTGATTCTTAATTGGATTAAGATTTGCTTCATGAAGCTTGGATGAAGCATATAATTTTTATTTCAGAACATTTGTGTATATCGTGTGTATATACAAGGTATCTCGTTTAAATTTAATTAACCAAAGTATTTGGAGAGATTTAAATAAC